GCTCATCGTTAGAACCATGCCTGTGGCACGTGTCTTTGAGAGTAGACTTAGAATCATTGTTCACATAGAAACTCCTTGTTCGTTCTCCATGTAAATCATTCCGTTGTTAATTGTTTGACCCAGTTTTGTTGATTTTGAGTTCGACTGACAGTTTGGTTGTCACTTTTGTATCCTCCTGTTGTTATATTGTAAACTGCTGTAATATGAACTGTCAATAGTAGTTGTCCTGCTCGTGTCGCCAGTGTTGACTGACACGTAATGAGTTTGAAATAAATTACTTCATACATAAGGGAAATCATATATATGTGAAACAATTAAAAATCCTCGAAAACCAGAACGCATGTAAATAAATCAATATCTTCTGATAGACTTGATAGTTAGGAAAACAATTGCATTTAAGATTTTTTAAATCTATTATACCCGGTACACATATTCCCTTGGTGTATTCATCCAGTCAAAGCATGTGCTATTCAATTTAGATAAATGTAATATGGCCATTAGTGTCTCCATATGGTTCGAGATTTTGGTCGATGGCAATGCTGTGATAACAACATAGTGTAGCTGTGTTGTTCTTGAGCATTATTTTAAAACGTTAGAATCAAAATGAGACTAATTCTGAGTAAGCGATGTCAGTGAGTTATTACAATATATTGTAGCAAGCAGAATAATTAAACGTCAATAACAACGTCATCAATGAAGTTTCAGCATAAAATGTCATTTTATGAAAATGGCAAATATTTGTACTTAAAAATCTCAATTGTCAACTATTTCATGCATAATTATGTTAGATCATTTAATATCCAGATAATCATGTATACTTGTTTTGACCCTAAACGATGTGCAATAGCAATTACCTGATTTCTCATGATTTACTATAATTGTCACACATAACATTTGTATTTAAATGTAATTTTGATAATTAAGATGTACTAACAACAAATGTTTATATCAATGACTATTTGAAAGGAACAACAGAGAAAATATTTTTTTTATAAATGTTTAAAAACTTTATTTGCACTTAAAAAGAAAATCACATCTGATATTCATGGAACTGTGACCTAAATATAGGGAATCGTAACAACTGTAGGTCATACAAACATACCTGTACAACAGCATAAGCTTTACTACAATACAAGTACACACGCTATCTATAGCACTGTTGTTATTATACAATAATACATATACCAGCACAGTCTATGTCATACAATGATACATGTACCACCACTGTCTATGTCAAACGATAATACATGTACCACCACTGTTCATGTCATACAATAATACGTGTACCACCACAGTCTATGTCATACAATAATACATGTACCACCACTGTCTATGTCATAAGATAATACGTGTACCACCACTGTCTATGTCATACAATAATACATGTACCACAACTGTCTATGTAATACAATAACAAATGTACCACCACTGTCTATGTCATACAATAATACATGTACCACCACTGTCTATGTCATACAATGATACATGTACCACCGCTGTCTATGTCATACAATAAGATGTGTACCACCACTATATATGTAATACGATAATACATGTACCACCACTGTCTATGTCATACAATAATACTTTTACCACCACTGTCTATGTCATACGATAATACATGTTCCACCACTGTCTATGTCATTCAATAATAAATGTTCCACCACTATATATGTCATACAATAATACATGTACCCCCGCTGTCTATGTCATACAATAATACATGTATCACCACAGTCTATGTCATACAATAATACATGTTCAACCACTGTCTATGTCATACAATAATACGTGTACCACCACTGTCTATGTCATACAATAATACATGTTCCACCACTGTCTATGTCATACAATAATACATGTATCACCACAGTCTATGTCATACAATAATACATGTTCCACCCCTGTCTATGTCATACAATAATACGTCTACCACCACTGTCTATGTCATACAATAATACCTGTTCCACCGCTGTCTATGTCATACGATAATACGTGTACCACCACTGTCTATGTCATACATTAATACATGTTCCACCACTGTTTATGTCATACAATAATACATGTACCACCGCTGTCTCTGTCATACAATAATACGTGTACCACCACTATATATGTAATACGATAATACATGTACCACCACTGTATGTCATACAATAATACATGTACCACCACTGTCTACGTCATACGATAATACATGTACCACCACTGTCTATGTCATACAATAATACATGTACCACCACTGTCTATGTCATACAATAATACATGTACCACCACTGTCTATGTCATACAATTATACGTGTACCACCACTACATATGTAATACGATAATACATATACCACCACAGTCTATGTCATACGATAATACGTGTACCACCACTGTCTATGTCATACAATAACAAATGTACCACCACTATATATGTAATACGATAATACATATACCACCACTATATATGTAATACGATAATACGTGTACCACCACTGTCTATGTCATACAATTATACGTGTACCACCACTATATATGTCATACGATAATACATGTACCACCACTGTCTATGTCTTACATTAATACATGTACCACCACTGTCTATGTCATACAATAATACGTGTACCACCACTGTCTATGTCATACAATAATACGTGTACCACCACTATATATGTAATACGATAAGACATGTACCACCACTATATATGTCATACATTAACAATACATGTATGTTATACGATAATACATTTACCACCAATGTCTATGTCATACGATAATACATGTACCACCACTGTCTATGTCATACAATAATACGTGTACCACCACTATATATGTAATACGCTAATACGTGTACCACCACTATCTATGTCATACAATAATACATGTACCACCACTGTCTATGTCATACGTTACCATAGTACAATGTTCCACCACTGTCTATGTCATACGATAATACATGTACCACCACTGTCTATGTCATACAATAATACGTGTACCACCACTATATATGTAATACGATAATACGTGTACCACCACTATCTATGTCATACAATAATACATGTACCACCACTATATATGTCATACAATAACAAATGTACCACCACTATATATGTAATACGATAATACGTGTACCACCACTATCTATGTCATACAATAATACATGTACCACCACTGTCTATGTCATACGATAATACATGTTCGACCATTATCTATGTCATACAATAATACATGTACCAGCACTATGTCATACGTTACCATAGTACAATGTACCACCACCTCTATGTCATACGATAATACATGTACCACCACCGTCTTTGTTATAAAATAATACATGTATCCCCACTTTATATGTCATACAATAATTCTTGTTCGACCACTATCTATGTCATACAATAATACATGTACCACCACTGTCTATGTCATACGTTACCATAGTACAATGTTCCACCACTGTCTATGTCATACGATAATACTTGTACCACCACTGTCTATGTCATACACTAATTCATGTTCGACCATTATTTATGTCATACAATAATACGTGTACCACCACTATGTCATACGTTACCATAGTACAATGTACCACCACTGTCTATGTCATACGATAATACATGTACCACCACTGTCTATGTCAGACAATAATACATGTACCACCACTATATATGTCATACAATAACAAATGTACCACCACTTTCTATGTAATACGATAATACATGTACCACCACTATGTCATACGTTACCATATTACAATGTACCACCACTGTCTATGTTATAAGATAATACATGTACCACCACTGTCTATGTCATACAATAATACATGTACCACCACTGTCTATGTCATACGATAATACATGTACCACCACTATAAATGTCATACAATAATACATGTACCACCACTATGTCATACGTTACCATCGTACAATGTACCGCCACTGTCCGTGCAAATGCACGTTTGATAAGCATATGAAAGGTTTTATCTAGTCAAAAGCGAGATAAAATACGTTTTTAACGACTAACGCCTCATTTACCTCGTTAAACTAATGTAATGTGTAGCTTTTCGACATGAAAGACCTTTCATAATTTTAAAACTGTGTGCAATATGTAAATATTGTTTTGATTGTTCTTGTATTATATTATGAACAATAGAACTGTTGCAAATACACGTAATTGTAAAGGATGCGTCGCTTTATTATGTCACTTTATTTAAAATCTTCTAATAATTATTATTTCTCTCAGAAACATTTAAAGTAAAAGTATCATAGATGAACCGGAATTAAATAAGTTGTGTGATATCATGGCATTATATACAAATAGGACGATATACTGTATACTATCCAGAAATATAATGATATCGCGCATTTAACTTCATCAAGTTATACCATAGTTCAATTTTGATAACCGTACCTACTTCAGGTTACGTGCTAAATTTGCTCCCATGTCATATAGATATCACGACTTTTACTTATTAACATGTACACACTACTATATGTGATAATCGTACATACTTCAGGTTACGTCCTAGATCTGTTTGATACATATAATGATATTACGCCTTTAAATTGCTCTCATTAATGTGTCTATACTACTGCATGAACACCATACATACTTCAGGTTACGTGCCAAATCCTGAACACTTGATTAGCATGCCTTCCTTATATGGAGTAGAAATGCTATCCTTATATGGAGTAGGAAGTCAACACATAATGTTTATCGCGGGGTTTTTGATAGGTATATATACAGGTACGTATCAGCTCTATGTTATATTGCCGCTTTAAACGTCAACAGGAAGAAGAAATAACTTTACCAAAGAAATGTCTGGGCAGGGAGTTGTGGTGATAGACCTGGGGTCTTGGAGTGTCAAGGCGGGTATGAAGGGTGGCAGCAGTCCCACTTGTGTACTAACAGAAAAACAACAAAAGGTAAGTCAACGCCTTTTCAGTATTCTGGTCGCGTATTAAAACTTAAGAACCTTAATAGTTCAACTCTCGTTAGAACCAATACGCACAGAAGAAAAATAACATTAAAATTGTATAGTTTTTCCAATGTTACTTTTTACGTATTTAATCGTCTAATCATCAGAGTAAGAGTAATATACATCGATCCTTATATACTTTAATAGAATTTGCAACCAGTTGTTCTCCATTATCGTACTGTTATTTCAACACCTCGTTCTGTTTTCATTAACACCCAATACGTATGTTCTAACCCATCTACAACATATTTCATGAACTGTTTGTACTTTATAAGCCAGGTACACAATGTTAACAAAAACGCTTTAAATGAAATAGATATACTGTATCCTTCTTTTGAAAGACTTTCTGTTGTCACTAGTATCCATATCCAGCATCATAATGTAAAATTATTAACTTCGAGGAGGTAATTATTCACAATTTGTCTTTTTCGTAACTTGTATTTCTATGTAACGTATAGTAAAACATTAAAGGCCAGTTTAGGAGAGCAATGGTAGGTAATTATCAGACTGTAATAATTATGGGAGTCACAGTTCAATACTTCAGACCGTAGATCAACATATCATTTATTTTAACTAAAACCAGTTCGGTATCCTGGTCTATCGACAGTCAAAATATCGCCTTATGATCATCACTATTCATGCAAAGCTATCACTATTTACTCAAAGGCTTATATTTTAAAATGATAATAGTAGTAATTATGGAATAAATGTTAGATGAAAAAGAGCCAGTTTAATTCTATGTTCTATCATTTTGCTGTTTATACTCAGTTATAAACTGTAAACGGACTATTTCAACGCTTCATACATTTCAGGGGATTTTCACGCTTCATATATTGCGCTAAATCTTATTAAGTAAAGTTACTGTATTTTGTCCTGTGTTGTTCAAATTATAGGTGCCCCTATTCATTAATGCGCTAATGAGTTAAACAGTCGATACTACGCCAAAATTGGAATACGCTGAATAAGAACATTTATAATATCGTAATTAATTCCTCATAAAAATGTTGTTTCTTTGTTTGTAATCCCGAACAAAAAATAACAACTATGATGCCTAATGACTTTTATACTATTGTATCTATACTTTAATAGTATTGTTCCCTTTAAACAGGCTGTCCTGAATGGAAGGTATCCTATCGAAAATGGACAAGTTACAGACTGGGAGGACGCCGAACAGCTTCTCCGAAATACATTCACGGAATTGGGGGTCAAGCCTGATGAGAACGCCGTCCTCTTGTGTCAGCCACTGACAAACACGAAACTCAACAAAGAGAAGATTGTCCAACTCATGTTTGAGAAGTTTAATGTTCCGGCTGTCTTCCTAGCGTACACCAACGTTTTGTCCCTGTATGCTACGGGGAAGCTGAACGGGGTTGTGATGGAGTCTGGAGCAGGAGTATCCAACTGTGTGGCTCTTTATCAAGGAAATGCCATGCTAGACACTCTTGTGTCAAGTGACTTGACCGGTAACCAGCTTACGAACTTCGTCTCACAAAAGCTTGCTAATCCCGATCTTGATTTCGAAACCGTTAACGAAATTAAAGAGCAGACGTGTAGCCTTAATCCACCCACCGAGGACATGGGTTATACACTTTCCGACGGCAGTCGTATCAATGTCCCCCAGGACGCCCAAAGGGCCCCCGAGATCTTATTGGATCCCACCATAGCTAACATAAACACTAGAAGTATCCCTCAAGCCATAGTGGACTGTATCGAAAAGGTCCGCGCGCAGCACGGAAATGATCGTGCCCAGGAGATGTGTAGCAATATCATACTGTCTGGGGGAAACACTCTTTTTAGTGGATTAGTTGACCGCGTACAAGACGAAATAAAAACCAAGATGGTGGGTGTTAGTGGAATACAGGTGATAAAAGCAGCACCGTACTCGGCATGGATAGGAGGATCCATCCTTGCATCGCTAGAAACGTTTGGTGGTCTTCTTATAACCAAGGCGCAGTACGAGGAGAAGGGTGTGCAGGTCATCGAAGACAAGTTCTGATTTCGGTCGTTAGAACCACCAGAGAATATCAGACTTTGCTAAAATATTGAAACCCAAAGATGCATAACAGACTTTTAGATCATGTACCGCGAGGTATCAATCAAGCCAAATCTACGATCAATGTTTTAATCTTCAATGTGATATTTCGAGTGAACAATT